CTCCAATTTTCAAACCTCAACATTTGAAAGCATTCATAGCCTTATTTCTAAAAATGTGCATGACAGTACATCATAGTTGAAAAAGAGTCCTGAAAACATCTGGCTGAGTTCAGTAACATCTCAGCTCTTGATTAAAATATAAGGTAAGTTAAAATGAGAAAAACCTGTCAGTAATTCATCTCACTACACCATTCTTAATTCTTTTTGTCCACTTACAATTAAGTTAGCATAATATGCCAGAAAATACTACTTCTAGTTTCAATATTGAAATTATCTTGCTAGCCAGCCATACACCATGATAAAAGCTAGTAGTATTCAGAGGTGTTAGTTCTGGCCAATGGTCAGATTCCTGAAGTGTCAGAAACATTCCAAGAAATACTATGGGTTCTTAACTTTGTTGCGTTCTAGATATAGCAAAAGTACCAAGAGCTGATTAACAACTGACCCAAAGAGAAATAATAATAATAATAAAAAACCAAAACACAAAATCTGTTTTGTGTAAAAAATGAAGGGTACGACAAAGAAAAAAAAACAAAACCAAAAATACAACAAGCAAGAAACCCCAACACAAACAAAAACACAGGTCTGATTCCTCCACTGGGATAAATCTGTAGGACTCTTGTGTCTCTAGCACTAAGCCAGGTTAAGTCAGCTGAGACCGTGACTTGATTCAGAGGGGAAAAAAAGCTTACAATGTGCAACCTTCACAGATACCCACAAACACTGTAGTTCACCATTCACATTTCTTTCACCAAGGTGTATAAAACTGAAGGGGAGGGGAGGAAGGCTGGGATTTCTCTTTAGTATGCTTTTCCAGAAGTTATTAAAAGTTACAAAGCAATAAATGCTGGAAAACAGAAAGACTCAAAGGATTTCAATTTGGCAAATGAACAAAAAACTGTGGTTGGAGATCAAATTTGTTTCATTTGTCTTTGGCAATAAAAATAAATCTTTGCAGTACTGCAGCCAAAGTATCACGCAACGAGGCACAGCTTTTTCCTAGCATGAAAATTGAAGGAAATTTGAAAGTATAAATTACTGGTAACAAGATAAAGGGAGGGTAATCAATCTCTCTAAACAACACTTTAATTGGAATAGAGAAAATACAGTAGATGTATTTCTTTAATGTGAATAATAAAAGTGAGTAACTTCAAAAGGCCACTATTTGGTAACATGGACAGATTCAATATCTATGTAAAATCCTGTAAAAGTGTATTGGTATTAGAAATCGCCTACTTGCAAAAATATATTTAAAAACTGAAGCTGTTTTGAACAGTATAGGCCAAGGAATACTGCAGGACTGCTCAGGTTGCCTGGTCCAGGGCTCTGAGCAGTTCACTGCCCTGCAGAAGCGTGGAACTGCCCAAAACAGGGACGTTTACCTCACAGTCATATCTTGTCAACTCAGGCAGCAAATAAGGTTCAAAGAAAGACCCCAGCAGACGACTCGTCACACCTGAAACAGTAAAAGCAAGTCAGGATGCTGAGATCAGAGGGAGAGAATGATAGTGAGAGAATGCTTCTCTCCTCCCTTCCCTCTTCTGTTTATACCAGTTACTGCTTTGTATTGTACTTATGCCAGTACACCTCAAACTACCAACAGTTCACATTTTCAGAGCAAATGCAATCATCTCTGCCTTTAGGGGTTACAAGCACAATGTTTTCCACTTCCACGCTAAATTCAGATTGAGGAAAATGACACTGGTGCAAATGAAGAAAGCTATAGTAACAGTTCATAAATTGACAGCCTTGCTGTCTCCATTTGTCTCCTTTCACTGCAGATACTAATTTTTAGAAGGCAGCCTTTGGTCTGTAACCTAGAAACCTCAGCTATCACTGCTGCACTGAAGCTGCTTAATACAGTTTAATCAATTTGATCACAAGACAAGAACGTGTAAGATGATGACTAGACCACTAAGGTAACAAAGGTACTAGTTCAACCGAAATGAAGGGGGAAAAACTGTTTTTCCTCATATATCACAAATGTAAATATTTAACGTGAAACTTTTAACAACCAAATCAATTTTTCATTGTGTGGAACACTAAGCAATTGACTCGGTTTCACATTCTCTAACTTTTTTGTTAAAAGTTTCATTCTCATGGAATCAGTAGTGGAACTAACTGCCAACATTTTTCAGCCTCTGTATTGGACTCTGTATCTCTTACCTGACACTTTATGAGCTGACTGCACAGTATAGTCCTGATAATGGGGACTGTAAAACTGAGGGGAAAATGCTCCTGCTTTCAGATTTTCACCAGTACTGCCACAGGTGGGCTGCTGCTGCTGCTGCTGCTGCAGTTGATTCCTTGGTTGGCTCAGACCTCTCGAGTTGCAGACAAACTCATCTAATTCATACAGGAGAAAACAAAAAAAAAATTAAATCAAGCCAATGTAATTGTTATAGTAGCTAATACTAATTTGAAGCAAATTGTTCCTTGGTATGACAGTGACACAGTGTAGGCATATCTAAAGTCTAGAAACAGTATCATCTGGAAGTAGTATTGTACTAAAGATATGTGAAGAATGAAAAACAGTGTTTTAGAGAGAAAGCATCAGTTCTAGCTCTGAAATGTCTGCACATTAGATCAGCACTAGGTAAACCTACCTCTATTAAACTGCTCCTTGTTTACCTCCCAAGTAAAGGTATGGACAATATACGACTAAACAATCTACTTGGCGTCTATAAAACATACTATAAATTGTTCAACAGTAAGCTATACAACTCGATCTTGAATTTTGCATTCTTTGTATTTTTTTTTTCCACAGAGCTTATTTGACATGTCCTTACAAAATAGTTTTTCTTTCTATTCAAACTAGCTTAACATTGCAAAATCAATTTCTTTTCCCTTACCTGTAAGAACACTTGTGCTGAGAGACTTCTTTTCTGTAAGCAAGGAACAGTTTTCCCCTTTGAGAAATTTCATTCTCTTCCACATTAACTGAGATGGGTTAATGACAGATAGATCTCCCTACAGTTTGGAGAAAAGCAAAATGAATGATTATGCTGGTGATCTTGGTACATACAAAAATTTGAAGGGGATGCATTTTCTTATGATTACCCCACTCAGCTGTTGCAGTGCTTGCTCTTCATAATCCAATTGTCGCTTCAGTTTCAAACTATTAGACAAAGCAATTCTTGCTGGGTTTATATCTATGCTTCTTTGCCCCAAACCATCCAGCGCCCTGTTGAAAAAAGATTTCTGGGTGAGCAAGAAGGCAAATCTAAACTATCTTTTTCATTTATACAGATTCTTCTTTCATCTATTTCATCTATTTAAGATGCCTCTGACACATGACACTGTATGCTGAATGTCTTTGTTTCCTTTTATCAGTCATCCCACAGACTTTGGGAAATTTGGGGATCAAAGGCTAGCATGAACAGCCTCTAAAATCTCCACTCAGGCATAAAAATAATATGGAAAAGAGTCATGAGATTTTTAATCTTAGGATTTTGAAAGCTACGCCTGTCTCCTTGCTAAGCACAAACACGAGTTGTATGTATTCAAGAAATCTACCCCTTTCTGCCCAAACATTTCCTAAGTGTAATACATGGAAAACATAAATTCTTACCTTTTTTTATATATGTGCACGTTGGGAGAATGTATTGGGGGTCCAGAGGGGGAATTTGATAGAGTTCCTGAGTATTTATCCATGAGTCTCCATTTAGCAGGAACATATTCTAACGGCGGATCAGGTGGCCACTGGGTGTTCGGTCTACCCCCCATCGAAGACAGTGGAGTGCTGGCTTGGTTGTGGTATGGTGGCAACGATGACCTACTCATATTGTTGAAGAACACAGATGATAGGGACCCAGAACCAGGGTTAATGTTTTTATTTGATAGCTGTGGGAAATATTTCTCTGGGAGGAACTGATTCTGTGAAGCAGAAGCAAGAGGTTGGAAAATGGTACTCATGCTACTTAGACTCTGCTGGGTATTTTGTGCACTGTCAGAGAGAGGATGTTCTTCTTGGCAGATAGGGCTTAGCTGGAAATCTTCTCCATCCATAGGAATGTAAGGAGCTAAGGTTTCAAGGTCCAGTTCATTGAAGTCAGTCTGCACAAAAATGAAAGAAGTTAATGAGAAACCTAGAAGTTAATAACAGTTGTGGCACTATAATGTGAAATACCAGTTGGGAGATACGAAGTTTAAAAAAAAAAAAACACAACAACACTGTATGACAAATTTATGTAAATGAAAGTGGCTAGCTGCTCCATATTAAAAACAAAGAAACAAACAAAACATTATTACTATGAACTGCACATATGCGTACTCATTCCGGTTCAGACAGAGTTAATCTCACTCACAGTAGCTCACACAGTATTATATTTTGGACTTGTGGTCAGTGTTTTAGCTATTGCTTAGTAGTGCTTACAAAGAGTTAAGGCTTTCTCTGTTCTGCACCTTGCCCCACCAGTGGAGTAGGCCGGTGGTGGATAAGAAGCTGGGAGGGAGCACAGCTAGAACAGCTGACCCCAGATGACCAAAAGGATATCCTATACCGCATGACATTATGCTAAGCAATAAGAGCTGGGAGAAAGAAGAAGAAGCTGGGAGGCATTCAGAGTTACAGTGTTTGTTTTCCCAAGAAACTGCTACATGTGATGGAGTGCTGTTTTCCTGGAAATGGCTGAACATCTGCCTGCCAATGAGCAGTAGTGAATGAATTCCTTATTTTGCTTTGCTTGCACGTGTAGCTTTTGCTTTTGCAAACTAAGCTGTCTTTATCTCAACCCAATTTCATCCTTCCAGTTGTCTTGCTCATCCTAATGGAGGGAGTGAGCAAGTGGCTGCATGGGTTTAGCTGTCTTGTGGGGTTAATTGACAACATTTTTCATTTTGAGGTTTTACAGGAGTTAATTTAGTTATATTTTGTTCAAGAAATGATGTTTAGTCACTAATCATCAGGCCAGATAAAAAAAAAAAACACAGGTGCTGCTTATATTCCTTATCCAGTCTACAGAAGTTTCCAATTCCTGAAGCTCTGCTTCTCTCTTTTCAGCACTGCCACAGTGACACCTCCAAGGTAATTGCTTCATATTGTAAGGGATAGAAGTGGATGCCTCAGCTTTTCAAAGCATATGCTTGTGTTAGTGCAGTGCATCCACGTTTTGGTGTACATGTTATGACACTGTATCTGCATGCATCTCCACTACTGTCTGCTAACAGAGGGCCAATTTTCATGGTTTTGGGAGAGATATTAGATTCTTACCTGGGAGTTGCACCGACTTTTTGACTCTGTGTCCATGGCAAAGAGTTTTTCAATCACCTCAATCTTAAGATCTTCATCCACAGAAGTGTAGTAATCTTCTGGACTGTTTGGCTGCGCAGAAATAACAATTGGCTATAAGAAGCCAAAACAACTACAGCTTAGCATACTCAACTACATTTCTACCATATCATTTCTTCCAACATCAGATCAACGGTCACTATAAACTTAGAGAGTCACAGTGATTTAACAAAGGCACACAATACAACAACTTAGTTGTCCTGTTTTTTTTTTTTTTTAGCACATCATACTAATAACATGAGACATGTACTATTCAATTATTTTGTCAAGTAATTATAACACTTTACACTACCTCAATAATTTTATTAAAAGCAGACATAAAATAATTTTGAGTTAGACAGGACTGCTAAAAGCCCTGCAATGAACAGAGACACCTACAGCAAGATTGAGTTGTTCGGAGACTGGTCCAGCCTGACCTTGAAGGTCTCCAAAATCCAGTTGAGTCCTAGCCTAGAAGTCATCTAGCAAAGTTCTGATAAGAGTGGCTCTTGCTCTCGAGGGCAGTACCCTGGAAAACTCATTCATTCTTTCAGCAGTAAACTCTGTGAAGCCACTCTCAAAAGCCAGAGTCGGGTAAACTTTCTTGATACAGACTATTGTTCCGTAAACAAACAGAAAGAGGATTGGCCTGAGGGGAATTTTGCTAATGACCAGACCACTTAACATTGGAGTTTCATTTAAGGCTAATTCCATGTAAGATGGTAGCAAGTTCATCTACTAGCTGGTTTATAGGCTAGTTGGTTCATAATTACTTAGTGAGACAGAGGAAAACAAAGAATGCAATATAAAGGCAAGATATAGTTTCCATCTGACATTTTTGCTATCAGTGCTTTCCTACACAAACAGCATAGGATAAAAATACAAAGTACAGTAGGGATATAGATATGCCGGTCTTGTTACAAGCATTGAGACAGGACTGCTAACATGAAAATATCATCTCCTGATGGGACTTGCATAGAGAACATCACTTTTGCATTTTTTAAAAGCTTTTCTTACCGTGGAACAGCTACTGTTGCTGCTTACACTCGGAGTACTGCTGCCAGGTGCAATCTGAGGCATTGTAAAGGACGGTATTGTCAGCGTTTCACCTTGAGCAGCATGGCTTTTCACTTCTACTGGCCACGGTTTGTTTGGTGTCAAAACAGCACTGGAATAGGCAGGGGTTTCTTCAAACTTCTGTATCCCTGGATGGAGTTCTAGCAGAGTTAATAGTACAATATTAATGGATGCTTTTAGCTTGTGCCTGTTATGATATAATTACGGCTATTCACTAACAGTAAACACTAATCCTAGTTGCCATAACAGTAAGTAAGTTCACAAAGACTTCATCTTGTTCAGTCTGATTCTGCCCTCTTTCACAGAAATTTTCCACTAATGAGAGCACATGAGCTCCTATCACTGTTACTCTTGATTTATACATACAGCAGACAGACCTGGTCTATTAAGTTTCTAAACATAGGCTCATATGTGGCTCTTTGTTGTACAGAAATTATTTACACAAATACTAACCAAAATCCAGGGAAATAATGGCATCTCCAGGTGTTGGAGCCAGCTGTGCAAGTTCCTCTGGTTCTTCTTTTAGCTTAGTAAACAATAAATCACTCTTGTCCCTCCCTGAGATCCCGTTCTCAAAGGCACTGCTCATCGTCAACAGGTGAGGCTTGAAGAGCGATTCCGTTTGGTCCATAGAGAAGACAATATCATTCTTCTCAATTTCACTAGAAAGAAGAAGAAAGAGTTTAAGTACTTAGCACTCTAAAGGAAAAAGATGTGGTAAAGTCAGGTATTATAACTCTCTAAAGGTTGCTCTAAGTGTATTTTTGGTTTCTCACAGCTGAATGCCAGGCTCTTGACAGACAAGGCACAGTTCCAGTGTTGCTGAGCACCACAATCTCAGATGACGCAGAGAATGTGGTCAGGACTTCTGTGAGAATACTCAGGGCTTTGTTGCTCTGGTTTTTAAAGGGATGTACTCAGGGCTACAATGACCCAGACTATCACTCAAATAAGTATTTTATTTAGGCCCTGTCTAGGACCAAAAATACATGAGCTTTTCAAGACAGAGATTAATCTGTGCTTCTGTTTTTTGAAAAGAAAATGGCTTTTCCTAGGAACACAAGATACACTTACTACTGAGTTTTCTCTCTCTGTCACAGTACTAGAAAAATAAAATGCATTTAGTAGTTGCATTGCACAATAAAATCTTTAGTGCAGGCCTTATGTTCTGCTTCACCAGCAAAGCAGAAGAAAAAGGCTGTGGTGTAATTCAACAGCTTGTATGGGAACAGGCATGCCACATTCTTCATCAATGTCTAACATCAGTAAACAAGATTGAACAAACATGACTAAACTGATTTCAGCATAGCAGCACTGGATAAATAGACCCTTCAAAAATATTTCTCATCCTTGCATTTTTTCCAGCACAAGGATTCAGAAATGTTTTTCCTGTTCTGCACAACTTACCTCAGCACATAGTTGACACAGATGATACACTGAGGCTGTAGGTTGCGCGTGTTGTAAATGACGGTCCCTTGAGTTTCCAGCCACACGTATCCACCATGCTTGGCAAGCATACGGTACTGGCCAGTCACCACTTGACCTTTTGTACACACTAAGAAATGGGAGCAGAGAGATAAAAATAAGGTAGCAGCACAAGTAAGAGTGCATAATACGTAACACTTGTTTAAATACAACTGCTCCCAAGTTTTCATTATACAGAACTGCACTAAAACATTTGTAAACAGTGATCGTAGAATGGCCAGGTTGAAAGGGATCATAAAGATTATTTAGAACCAGTCCCCCCGTCATCAGCAGGGTGGCCAATGATGCTCAACTTCTAGAAGAAATCAGCTATTTTCAATATAAATGAGTCTGCTAAACTGAGCTCTCCTCTCAAGACACTTGGCATTTGAGACCTTTAGATTATCTGAGTATTTAGATCAATGCATGGTTGTTTGTTTGTTTTTTTATTTAATATAAGATTCTAATTGCCCTAAAAAGGAAAGTCTGCTGACTGCATATTTCTTGAAAGTTTCTGTTCCAGTAGAATTGCTCGCAATTTTGGTTCCCAAATTGATTTAGGAAATTATTCAATAGTCTCCCTAATTTAGGTGGTGGACAAAACCAAGGGTCAGATGATTTAAAAGCAATAGCCACAATAAAGTAATTCTCATGGTTTAATTCCATACCTATCTCTTTTTCACGCCTAGTCAGGAGCCGAAGGCACCAACAACACAAATGAAGTGAAAGTAGCCTTAGCACAATATTGGTTTCAAGTGGTTGAAGAAGTAACATCACTTTTAAAAAGGTATCAACATTGAGAAAGAAAAAACATCTTATTTATCTAGTTTTGGTTCTCTGTAATAGCTTGGAATTAACAAAAGAGAAGGAACTGAGACTCATGTGAAAAATCAAATAATGTTAACTCCAAATGTTTTATTTGAACTGGCCTGTGTTTCTCAAGCAATATACTGACGACAGCACAATTCAAGTTTAAAGTTTCATGTAGGTGTTCAAAAGGTGAAGGTTCTCAAGGTGTTTTGAAATATTAGAAAAGAATGGAATTTCAACGTGGAGCTCCGGACATCTAAAATGTAGTTTTATGATGTCTGCCTCATACACACTTTTCTTAAAAGCAAGGCATATTGTCATGCAATTTACAACTGTTCATTTGAAAAAACTAGGAACTCCTAGTGATCAATAGCAGTAAAATTAGGGCTGGAGTACACAAAACAGTACAAACAAGAATGTATTTATTTGTATGCAGACATAATTACACTGAGTACCTAAATGGGAACTGGCGAACTCAACACTTTGGCAGTTTTTCCTTTTAAACAGTTTTATGTGTGAAGACAGTATGTCATCAAAGTAATGCCCTAAAAATAAAGCATTTTACTCAATAAGACTGGAACTTACTTCTGCATTCTTTGCACAGAATAATTCCTTGTGAATGTGGCCACTCAACAGTGACTATTTACTGTCGCTCTCTCCTACACTGCCACAATACAAACCCACAATCCAACCCTGTGAAACACAACTGCATTGTAGATAATTGTCACTGTGTTTATCTTTCTATCTCTGAAGTTTGCTTGTTTGTTTTCTTCCTAGGAATATTTAATCATCCTTCATTTAATTTATTTAGACAAAGTAGAACATTACCTTTATTGATTAAATACTTCTGGCAGAACAAAATCAAAAGGCTTTCATTTCAAAGTGTTTTAGTGACTGAACTGTTCTGCTCTGCTTGTGAAACACAATTACACAGCTTCCTAATCATCAGCTCATCAATAAGAGTCACGGCGTAGGCGCCTGCTACATTACAAAGAAGCTTTTTACTGCTTTAATCTTTTTTATTATTATTATTCAAAGCATGTCATGTTCTGATATAATAAGGTACAGCAGAATCACTCCTTGGGGTAATCTCATAAATTACTAATACACTTGTAACTGCTGACTTTGTTATCAACACTGTATTCAAGGTTCTGGATTCAGAGTGAACTGTATTTTTTTTCTTTTAAAATACACATTTTTAAATAGATATATACATGCATGCCTGGATTTTTACAGAATTAGTAACATGTCAACGAAATACATTCATATTCTACACCTTACTGTTGGGAATAGAAAGGTGCATTCTACTCTAGGTGTATCCTAGGTGCATTACCAAGAAACATGTCCCAGACAGTGACATTCAGTTCTCCACTGAAGTCAACAGTGAAATTCTCATTGGTTTTAATGGCAACAAGACCAAAGCCTAAATGGAAGTAATTACAGACTATTAATCACTAAATTGGAAAATATAACTCTACAGTCAATCATTTGTACAGGCGTATGCAATAAAACAGATTTACATCTTGTTTGCATAATGTGTGAAAAACAAGGTATGCTAAATACTGCCACTTTCTAATCTACTGATGATGACTTAAGACTTTCATATTGTATATGCAACTATTCTTAAGAACACAAGCACTACTGTGCCTTGCTTGAACACAAGGCTGTTAATGAAGAACTTTGGCAATGAAAAAAAACAAACCTGCAGTACAGTAGAACTGCAATGAGCATGATTTACGACTAAATTTAAAGGAAGAAAAGGGAAGGAGTCCTGTTTTATTTATTAGACTCATTTGAGGTTTCTCTCTTTCTTCCTCTTTAATGGACTTGTGCAAGGCCTTTGACATGGTCCTGCATCACATCCTTACCTCAGAATCGGAGAGATAAGGATTTGAAGGCAGGACTATTTGATGGATAAAGACTTGGTTGGATGGTCATAGCCAGACGGTCGCTGTCAATATCTCTATTTCCAGGTGGAAGCTGGTCACTAGTGGTGCCCCCCAGGGGTCTGTCTTGGGAATGGTGCTTTTCAACATCTTTATCAGTGGCAGACACCGGGATTGAGTGCACCCTCAGCAAGTTTGCTGATGACACCAATGGGAGTTGTGGTTACATAACAGAAGGGAGGGACGCCATCCAGAGGGACCTGGACAGGCTCAAAAAGTGGACACATGAGGATTTAATGAGGTTTAACTAGGCCCCTGCCCACAGCAAGGGGTCAGAACTAGATTATCTTTAAGGTCCACTCCAATCTAAGCCATTCTATGACTTAAGCTTCACTTTCCTTCTATTTTCTATACATCTCTACAATACTAAGTGACAGAATTGATCACTATACTGTTGTATATTTCTCACTTAAAAAATATTGTTTGATACATACAAGGGTGCTGATCATGAATGCTGTGTTTAGTTCTGTATTCTGATTTACAACTCTTTATACAAGCTAAGAAGTGGATATTTTCATGCATGAATGAATATGGCTAGGAAGAAGCAGTTAAGTCCTGTACAAGCTACATGCTTGCTTGGTAACCTTTTGCATTAGACAACATCTCAGTAATAATGGGATTTTCCTAAACCTAGGGATTTTCTAATTTGTCTTTGTGGTCATCCTCTGAATTGCTAAGACGTCTGACTGACAATTCTGTTGAGGGTAACAGTATATACGGTGTTAATCATAGCATGGAGTGTTGACCAGTAGAGATGATCCACGCTGATCTTGTATAGCACCATATGCACTAGGATGAGTCTGATTCTGAATATTTCCTATCTGTGTAATGCACTGTATTTTCAGCACTTTTGCTAGTATACCTCACCCCCTCTCTCACTTTTGACTTCATTCAGCATCTTGACCAACCCTCATGTCCAACAGCACAAGTCTGTAGAACATGATACTTTCAGTAGACACAAAGGGCTGTTAAGCATCAACTTATGCCCTTTGTGAGATGATTCCAATTGCTACATCGAGGAGAAGCCACCATCAATACCTGGTCAAGAGTACTAGTAAAAGCAATGCAGAAATCCTTACACAAACAGGTCTTGATTCAATGGTCCTATCTAATTAATTAGACAGGGATAAACAACGTGGGCTCTTTTCAGCCACCAAAAAAATTGCCAACTCTCATTTTATTCCCTCTAGCATTCTCATTCTTAGATGAGAAGTCAACAATTCAACAGATGTAACTCAACAACTCAAAACCAACTGTAAAGCATAGTCACCTATTTCCTCAGAGGATTACTTCTAGCCCATCATGGGCTACCCACATCCTATCTGTAAGTATCACTCTTTCTCACTGTTAAAAGCATGAACACATTTTCAAAGAAACAATTTTAACAAATATGTTCCCAGATAATCTGTAAGTATGGTGTGATTATTATTATTTTTTTCTTCAGCAGCTCTGGAAACCCGATGATTCACACTAACACTGTTATACAGCACCCAATTTTAATCACTGCCAAACATTCTTTCAAATAACGTTCAACTCAAAGCTGTCCTGAATCCTTGCCATTGCAGCTAACAATACACTGTATGCCCTTTTTCTCCTTAAAGTCATACAGCTACTCTTTACTGACACTTTTCTCCAAGACGTACAGAAAATACTTTCTTCTAAGTGCATTTGCTGGGTAATTCCCTACAGACATGATGTAAATCATAGTCCTTCCTGAGCCACAGAGACATTGATCGTAATAACTACAAGGCAGTTTATGTTTTTGTTTATAACTTGTGTTCTCCAGCCTAGCAGCTCTGCCTTGTTTTTATTAAAACAGCAGCAACAGAAATTTTAGTGGTTCTTTGCTGAGTACTCTCCCATGCACCACTAGTTCACTGGTTGTAAAGCCAGACATAGGAAGCATAATTTGCATGTTAGGGTACTATGCTGTCTCCAGCCACTGTGCCACCTTTAAGGACAGAGACTGCAGGTTTGAATCAAGCAATTTTAAGATATCATAAGATATCTGCCAAATAGAAGGAACAGATCTTGGCTCTGATCTCCGTTACCAAAACGACTCAGGTATTTCACGTCAAAAACAGCTAAGGCTGGCAGTTTAGGCATAAGAGTAACAAGAAGAATGTGTTTCTGGCAGTATATATAGTCTGCATAATGAATACCCCGTTTAGAAAGTCTCTTTGCACATCTCTTTTGAGTGATGAGAGAGTTTTTTTTGGTAGAAGAACATTTAGAAATATGCTGTACTAAGCTCTTCCTTCTACTCTTTACAGCCACCCTTGTTGCTGAGCCAGGCAGTAGACCAACAGTACACCAGAATGATAAACCAGTAAATGCACTTCTCACCAAGCTAATACTGTCTAACTCAGCTTTTCAATTTTTCAACTGATCTTTGTATTACTCCTGAAAGAAAGATCCTCTTTTAGCTATGATCCACATTTAGTTTTAAGTATGGCAAAAATCAAACCATGTAGAAAGAGCAGCAGCAGTTTTCAGCATGACAAACATGGCAACGTAAACTTTCTTACAAAGAAAGAACCTATTCTTTTTTCTAAGAATACATGCACATAAATACCCATCCTCACACACAGGGTGAACTTATATTTTCAACTACTTACTGAGGTATCTACTAGTTGTGGCTTATTACTTGCAAACTGAAGAAAACTAAGAGAGTGACTTACAGTTCTGATGACTTTTGGTCATGTTCTCTGAGTCCAAGGCATGGTAGAACTCATATGCTGAACGGCCCAGCAACTCCTCTGGGTGGTATCCAATCAATTCTGTTATTCTAGGTTAAGAAAAGCCAAACATTTAAAATTCACATCTGACAGTACATCACAGCACTCACTTCTAGTCCTTAAAAAAAAAAAAGGATTAAAACTACCATGTGAGAAATCCTGAACTTCCCTACACTTGAGAAACTACAGAGGATTTCCAATCATGTTCTTAAATATTTCCATGTTAAGAATAGATTGGCTTTTAATACTACTACTCTATTCCTAGAAATATCTAGGATGGTCATCATTGCACATGTTGCAAATTTTCCCACTCATTGTACAGTATCTCCTATAGAAGCTCAGAACAAGGAAATTGTTGCTGACCAAGTTCTCAACCTGTTCCCTACCCACAGAAACTCCCACTACCATCATTCAAAAATAAATGCACGCAAGGAATAGTGGCTGGCACCACCAGGTTTGAAAGTATATAAATTGTAAAAGCTTATGTATATGAAAGTGTTAATTCACTGCTTTTGGTATTACATTTAATAAAAAAGCAAGGTGAGTAATTAAGGACAGTTAAAAGAAAAAAAATCAGCTCTTTCACTTAGTGTTTCTCAATTGTATGAGAACTTCACCATGTGGATTAGGTTACTTGGGTGACTAATCCACAAGCTAAGTAGGATTTTACACAAAGAAAGCTATGATCTGAAAAAAAAAAAAAAAAAAATGGACTTTTTTCAGAGCTTTTCTGAGTACTCAGGCAAGGCACGGTTTGTCACCAGTTCCTGAGTAAATGAAAATAGGTCAGCACACTGTGCAGATGAATCTCTCTAATGAGGGGGTGGAGGAGAAGGGTTCTTTATTCCTAAGCTAAATTTGAATTAAAACCGTCATACACACACATTTACAGAAAATACAGTTAGTAAAATAATAATAATTTAAAAAATCCTCTATATGCATTCAAAAGTTACAGATATCACACATCTCCCGGGAAAACACGGAAGCATTACTGTTTTTCAAGTCAGCAACAATGGTCTTGGATGCCTCTTCCTAGCTTTGAAACTGCAAAAATCACCCACAGAGAAGTAAAACCACTGCAAAAATCACTACACGGAGAAGTACCAAAACAACTGCAAATCAACTGCTTGGCTGTCATAAACCTTAAAAAGCCAGGAAGTTTGGAAAGAGGGTCACATCTTACAGCACATACCTGCCATGAACAGCACTGCCCAAGTTTTATGCCTCATAACTAAGCTCCCCCAGAAGGATTTATCTGACACCACATTTGATTAGTAGCGTTACTGCACTGCTACTTCCAAGATGCACATCTCCACTGTTATGCACTGCTTGGAAGGACAGTTGTGGCCCAGCCCTCCAGATAGAAGCATGCCTTTACAAGACAGACATGTAAATACTGTAACACAAACAGAAAAAGAGCACGGCAGTCATCTAGATCCCCCTCGAGCAAGGAAGATGAATCAGATGCAGCTATTTTGTGTACAGTTCGAAAGCCAAGGTGTTGAGTCAGCTTTTCCCTCACCTCCACAGAAGCTCATACCCCCAGGACACCTTGGTTGGTCACGCTGAAAACTGCTCTCCATCCTCATCTCCATGGAATGAACCTGAGCTCGTAAAGGTTCAGCTAAGCAGACAGTTGCTGATTTTACTGCATTCCCCCAGATAACCTGGTCTTCTGTTTGTGTTTATAGCTTTGTTTATGCTTACCATTAGACCAACAAAAGGGGAATTCTTGAATCACTCTTCACTGGCAAGTTGCTGATCATTTAAATTGTGACACAGTCTACTCTTAACTTTTCTTTGAAACCACAAATGCCTTTTCATTTTAATAAAAGCAAGAGTCCTCATAATGAGTGGGTCAGAAGAGCTAAAATGGCAGGAGAACACACTGAATACAGAAGGAGCCCTAATTAAATTAAGGCTCAAAGTACATTTTTTGCTCGCAGTCGTGTGGACCTACTGGAGCAAGCAGCCAGAGGCTTTTTCCAGACCAGTGTAAATACACAGTCTTTAAAAACTGAAACTATAGCCTTTGGTTACACAATGGCAGAGCACCATAGAGCTAGCAGGTTAGTTTGGAGCTCAGCACAAGGGGAAGGTTTCTAAAATTTAGGAAGTTCATAATTTAATCTTAATCCACTCATTTGAAGCTCAAAAGCAAGTAGGAATTGCATGCAAAGAAGGAAAAGGAAATAAAAGTAATGAAATAAAAGCAGCAGCATGCACCCAGAAGCACCAATGCAAATTCAAAACCAGCTGTAGAGGATGTCAACAATGGGACTGAAATAGCAAGCAAAACATATGCATTACAGCAAGCTAAGGGACTCTTAACTCCTCTCATAGATGAATTGCAATCTCTATGCCAACACTGTCTACTTCAATCCTGTAATTCCCCTCTCAAGTTACTCCTTACTAACAAGCTCTTAACAAGTATGTATTCCTCTCTACAAAATAACCCTTCTCCTTATTCCATGGCATAGGAAGACTTGTGGTATGATCCATCTGTGATAATGCCAAGTTTGATTAGATCAAATTTTGTCTTGGATTCAAGTTAGCAAATGGCATGTAGGTTTTTACTACAACCAACAAAAAAGTATACAAAAAGACACAAACCTGACAGGACTGACCAAAGCCACAGCAAGCAACAGTGAAACACCAGTCATAAACAATTGTTTTTAAGAAGTTACTTTTAAGCACAAATCGTCTAACCAGCCTCACTGCCCTTGCTAACTGATCTATTATTCTGGTATTGGCTTCATTATATTTCTCTTCAAACACTCCTGGGAGTAAAATGTTTTTTTTTCTGGAACTATCTATGTCTTTCACTCAGCCCCAAACACTAAAGAGCTGGCTGGCAACGTTTCCTAGATACACTTTCAAATACCACTATTTTATAACAAGTATTTTCTGTCCAAGAATTGCTAACAGCATTGCTTTCTGGAGCGAGAACTGACAGGTCGCATGCTCCTTTCTTCCTCCTCTGGTGCTGCTAACTCCAGTAAGCTTTGATGCTCACAGATGTTGGGACCAACATCTTCCCCTGTGTCCATCACACGGTCCTGTGCCTACCCAAGGCATTTGAGGAAGACTGGCAGAGCGGCACCGAAGTTGAAACACAGCAAGGGCTGTAACAGCCTCTGCACTGACACTGCTAGGGCATTGCATTGAGTTTGGCCATTCTAGTGCAGCCTCCAAAATCTACATGCTTTCCACAGCACTCTCAGCAATACAGAACGTCAAATGAGCATGCAGAGGAGGAAGTGCAAAGCAAAAAGCATACTACAGAGCTATGAGGAGTACCAAAGTAAAAAAAAAAGTCTCAGAAATTTATATGGATTTTTTTTTTTTCCTGTGGTACAAATGGGTCATTTACAAAACCTGAGTCCAGAAAACAAAACCTCTACTTTAACTTAGGCACTAGATGGAAAACTGCTTTTTGGACAAGTTGTGGAATGACAAAATTGGAAAACAAACTGTACGGCGATTTTGGACGGCTTTCCTACCATGTTAGGCTTTGTGTTTTCTTTGTTTCTGTAAAAGCTGAATTGGAGGCATTAGAAGAATACCAATTTTTGTTGAAGAGGAC